GCAGAGTTTCACCCCAGGCCTGTATGCCAGGCCTGAGCTGAGTCTGAAGGGGACAAGGTGGAGTAGGGGGGAGAGGCAGCTCTCTTACACAATCACTGGGCCTGAGCTAGGGCTGGATCTTGGAGTCCCGAGAATGTGGCAGAAATTCTCACTCACTGGGCAGGAGTGGGGGGTACTGCGGAGTGTTGGTGGTGGGGTCCCAAGGGGGTGGAAGAGGGTGTCACCCACACTGTGCCTGGGCTTGGACCAGACAGGTCCTGCTGGTGCAGGGTAGCCAGAAGCTCTCCTACACATTACAAATCCGTTGGACAAGCATTTTGGAAATGGGCATTTGAGGAGCTAAACTTGAAATTCTGCCATCAAAAGAAAGGCCAAGGTATAAACCTCTGGGGCAGAGCTGAGGGTCCATTCTGGGATGGCTCCCGGGCCCACTGTCCCCTGCCTGAGGCCTCCTTTCTCAGGAGCCACCACCCTTCCTTTGCAGATGTCATTGTTTTACCTGGCACAGACCTCACAACCCAGGGCAGATTTCGGTCCTAACAGGTCGCCTGGAAACCGGGCTCCTCTCAAGGGTCACACAGTCTCTTCCACCTGAGCAAGCACTGGGGGTCCCGGGTGGGCAAGGAGAAGCGAAGTTTCTCTGGCTCCTGTCCATGCCCCAGCAAACTGCTGAGATGGGAAATAATGTGGAAAGCAGGCGGGGCATTCCAGGGACTTGGGGGAACAGCGGTGGCTGGGGAAGCTAATCCATCACGTCTCTCCACAGCCTGACGGTCCGGACAGTGGCCTGCTAGCTCTTCTTGGCTTCCCAGTGGGGATCTCGCCATAGCCCAGGCTCAGCAGCTGGGACCACAAGCGTGAACTGCACACCTGGGCCCTGGGTGAGCTCCTCACCCAAGAGCACAGGCTCTGAGCAACACCGCTTGTCCCCCTGTCCACAGCGCATCAGCACCCACTTCTTGGCCTCAATGACCCTACCCTCTTCGACCTCCCCTCCAGGACACCTGCACCCCAGCTTCTGCAGCAAGGAAACACCTCTCCCCCCCCCCCAATCATCAGGGGCTCTTTTTTCCTTCCCCATGGAAACGCAACCGCTTGGCCAGACCACAAGTGTCCTCACAGAAAAACCAGTCAGGTGCGCAGCAGGTCTGTCCTTGGGCCAGGCAGGAAATGACCCCAAGAGGTGCAGACACTGGGCCACACCCTCAGGTCTGGTCCTGGGTGCACCTGGAGTCTCCGTTTCCAATAAATTCCCAGCAACACTCACGCTGCCGCTCCGGGGAACCTGGAGCTAGTTCAACCTTCCCTAAACACCCGAGGACCAAGGCTCAGAAGCTTCCAGATCCTAGCTTTGGAGGCTGACCTGCGAGCTGCATCGTGGCAGACACCAGGATTAGGCAGCACTCGGTAAAGTAAGAGGCAAGACACCAGGATCTTGTTAGCTGGATATATTTTTTTCTGAAAATTTTTTTTTTCTTTTTCTCTTTTTTTGTCACAGAACACTGTTTGCAGTAGAGGAAACTGGCATTGCAGTCTGGTGGTAAATGGCTCGTTCACATAAACCAGTACACGTTCATCCTTTAGCGCAAAAGCCCAAATGGCGCGTACCCTAGTGGAATTCAGGACATCTCCAATATTCTTTCATATATATATATATATATATATATATATATATATATATATACTTTTTCAAGGCTTGTCTTATCCAAAAGAAGGCCATACAGGCTCTCGGCTAGCGGAAGACGATTCAGAACGGCTGTCAGACACTTGGACTGTCACCTTCTCCAGGCTGGCAGTTGATATCTTTTTTTTTCCAACTCATTTTTATTAAAAAAATAAAAAAATGCTCCAACTATCAGTTTTACAAAATCTCTAAGGGAAACACAAGAGCAAGGTGCTGAGGTAAAAAACACCTGAGGTAGCTTTTTTGTGTGTTTTTTAAAAAAATCTGTAAATTTTAACGCCCTGGGCCAACAACCTTATGTAAATTGTTATTTTCCTCCACTTTTTTTTAAAGAACTCATTTCATTGAACATTGATGGCTTATACACCAAAATGTAAAACGACGAAATACATTCTCTCTGAATGGACTTTGCTTGGTTGGGCTGGCTGGTGGTGCGACGGCTTGCCGTCCTCCTCTTCCAAATGCTAGGGCCAGTACCGCTGGCTCTTGTTCTCATGAGTAACCAAGTGTAAGCTGAGGCTGGTTTGTGTGTTTCGCGTGTGTTCCTTCTGTGTGATATGACACTCAGAGCACTGCTTTGCCTGGGGGTTCTGGGGGTTCGTAGATGCGGGAGAGAGATGGAGGGGTGAGGGGATTCAAAAGATGGGGGTGGAGTCCGGGGACAGAGCAACCAAGAGAGACTGAGAATTATAGAGCAGTATGCAAAAAACCAGTTTAAAACCTGTGAAGCCAAAAGAAACGGGGGTGAGCTAGACAGGTGAAGAGGGACAGGTCCCTCCTCAGACGGTATCCCTTCTGCTGGCGGACACAGGTGACCCAGCCCTGCCGAGAGTCCTCTGACAGGAAATCCCTCTGGGTGAATTTTGTGGGTGGCCTTGAAGCTCCTTTCTATACACTTAGACCCCCCCAAAGAAAGACTTCTTTAAAAGTCTAGAAAAGCCTGCTTTCTGTTCAAAAAGAAAACAAAATTAATAATTGAGTAAAAATTGGAGTTAGTTGAGTTATTTGATATATTATTTCTAAAATATATTAATGCTGCAGGCACCCTGTGACCCCACAGGCCACATACCTTAGCTTCTTTCCCCTTCTAGTATGTACACACATGTACAGAGACAATTTCCCACAAAAGAAAAATAGAAATGGGGTGAATTTTGCTTTTTCTTTGAACACATTCACCTATGTTAGTTCAACTAAAAGGGATAGCGTCGTGGGAGTTGGGGAGACCCGAGTGGATGGGTGGCGGCGGCTGTGAAGCCTGCAGACGCCGGGCGAGGCAGGCGGGCGGGCGGGCGCGGTGGCTC